TAGGCAGTTTAACACACACTCAGTTGGGCTTGATATACGTATTTTAGAGTTTAGAAATTCTTAAACTAGTTTCAATTACTAAATGCATAAGAGGAACTTTTACTTATATAGTACTTCTCTTCCGATTCATGTAAAAGAAAAAAAAATGGTTTAATAGTCAAAATTTATTATAACATATATATCAGGGGCGTCGCTAGTAGTGTTTGAGGAGGGTGGAGGTCGTTTCTAAAATCGCTTGTAAAACCTAAGTAAGCTCTGTGTCAGTAGTAATCTAGTACATAAACAACACTTGTTGGAGCTCGTAGCAAATAAAGCTATCAACCAAGAAAATGTTCACAACATTTCTTGAACTACATTATAGTTAATCGTTGTTCCGAGGGTGAGGGGGTAACGACCTTCCTTTGAACCTCAAGTATATTTTGATGGTGTCGAAAAATTAAATCGATTGCTGAAAAAAAAAGAAAACTTGCTGAATATGGCGTTATAATTTTATATTAAAACCTTCTTCTTTTGCTAAAGTGTTTCTATGAGCCATGTACTGTATCGTTTGCCAAAGTGTGAGGCGCGCCTCCAGTCGAAGCGCGAGCGATTAGATTAGGGTAGTGTTAATAGTGCAATAATGCAAAATTAAGCATTTTAATAAATATTTTTATTAATGAAAAGAATAATTGTTACAACACATATAGTATTTCAATATGTATTCGTGCATTAAATGTCGTCACTTAACTCGCTTTTTCACTCATTTCAAAAAGAGGGGGAACACGCAAGAAACCATACTTATTAAAGGAGAGCGCGAATGACAAAAGTTTAGGAAACACTGCTTAAAATTATTTTCAAATGTTTTTATTATACAAGAGTACTAGTAATTATTACAAACAATACATGAGTTACTTGGTTTAATGGTTAGCGCCCCTCTTTTGGGCATGATTTAAGTGATAGTCAACACTGTTATTCATTAAGAACAGCCGCGTATGCTGTAGGTGCTGTTGGCTAGTTGTCTTCCCTTTGGCCACCAGTTATAGATAAGGAATGGCTATGCTCGAACCTAATTTGGATATCTGATCTGATATTTTAGTCTACGTGTCGCTTAAGGTGGCTTTCAGAGTCAAAATATCAAATACTATGGACCAGAGTTTCCAAACTTTTGTCATCCACATACCTCTTTATAAATATGGTTTCTTGCGTTCCCTCTCTCTCTTTTTTTAAATGAGTGAAAGAGTGAGTTAATGACGAGATATAATACACGGATACACATTAAAATATTCTAAATGTGTTGTAGTAATTACTTACTATCTTCATTAATAATTGCTTGTTTGTTTGAAGTTAAACACAAAGCTACACAATGG